GTAATTTTCCAACAGGAAAGTGGTTTTTACTTCCCCATTACTACTAGGGCCTATCATGTGCAAACCGTTTATATAATCCAAAGAAGAAGACAACCCTTTGATAGTTGTAATGGCTGCATAAAATAAAATGGTACTCTAATAATTACTTCCTTTGTAGTAAAAATTACTAGAAGGTAGGTTTATTCACTGAAGATACCAACTTTCACCATTGTCTGTCTCAGCCAGAAACCCTCCATGACTTACTTTCCTTTGTGGGAAGAGTATTTTTTTCCTCGGTATGAGTTTTCTTCAGTTTTGACTTGTCAAACTTCTCCACTTCCGACAAATCTGGCTTATCACTCATCTTGACTAAAAGAAAGACTGAAAACAAGTTCTTTTTAGAAACTTCCCGGGCAGAACTATCATCAGACAAACGAGTAACAGTCATAAATGTTCAAACGTAATAGTCATGTATATTTTACCTACTGATCTTCCACAGGACAACACCAGCAGATCTTAGAAGAGTTCTATTTTCATTACTTTGAATTTCACTTCAGTACCCCTATCCTGATAAGCAGAAAATGCCCTTAGATCAGGATACACTAGAAACCAAGACGCTCTAGAAGCCCAGAGCCAACATGTCCGACTCTTTTAAAATCACAGCAAAGGTAAAATGGAGGTAAGAGAAGCACAGGAACAAGTAGGGATCGAAGAATATAATAAAAACTTGGTTTAACCAGTCCATGAGTTTCTAATAGATGACAGCACTATCGAAGAATCTTCGCTGTCTATTCAATTACGGCGGTTTGGGGGGAGCGAACGGCATTTTTCTTGGAGGATGGGGAGCAGCACACAAAAAGAGGTGGCCAAAGTTGTACTAATTTCTTTCCATTTTAAATACCCCCAAACAGTAGATTAAGGTGCTGCAATAAGACAGGAGAGAGGATTTAATCCGGTCGTAACTCGTTACTCGTCTTATACTAGCTCCTTGTGGCAGCGGTTTGTAAACGCTATAAGAAGGGACAGCTAATTAGGATCAGACTCACGACTTCAGCAGAATGGGATACGCTAAATCCACACAGTCTTATTTCACCACCTTTTCTCTGCCAAGGGCGAGGCAAGGAGACAAGGCTCA